AGGATCTATTTTAAGCTTACAAACAAATAAATTTTAGTTTTTAATATAGTACAGAAAAAAGTAATCTAAATTTACAAATGCATGAACTGTAAATACAGTACATACTTGTAAATGTATATATTTTAATATGATTTTATGTGCTTTAAACATTTTTCTAGTGATATTACGACTTCAATATTTGTAGCGGACAGACGTAAAGTCGAATAAAATGACTTAAACTTGATTTTTATTTTTCCATATACTTTTTTGACAACCAACGTATAATCGGGAACGACGTAACTCAAAACGGCGTAAGTCGAGGTATACCTGTACAGAAATAAACATCAAACGAGATTGCAATCATACGTTATTAAAATATAGAAGTTCAGCGCAGAGAATCGTAACTAAAAATCTCTTTCTTTTGCAACATAACTATAAAAATTGTTTTGTTGTTGTTTCGCACAAAAGATAAACAAATTTATTTTAATTTTTAAATTTTAATTATAAGCAAGTTAACATTGGTTAAACTATCGGATTACCTGTTGATTTTCGAAAATATAACTACAGAATATTTATNATGTTTCGCAAACAAGCAAAAATTATATTTTCCACATGCCGCCATTCTTAAATATCTTTATTTACATCAACTATTTAACAATGTGTAAGTTATTAGATTATTGGAGTCATTAATTTATATAATTTCAATCTCTTTTAAATCACGTTAAATCGCACATGCAAGCCGCCATATTACAATAATCCCTCTATCGGAGAAAAACCTTCAGTGCAGTATTTTTAATAAAAAAAAAAAAAAGCAATAATTGGCAAATTAAAGTATCTACATAATCTATAGAGTTTATATTATTTATGCGAAAAATTCAATGAGTTACTGTCTAATCTAACTCAAAATTAAAATACGAAAATCCCTGACTTTCCAGGTGCGTAGGAACCCTGCATATTGAAAAAAATAGGAAGAAATGCAATTATACAAACAAATTATCAAACTTTGAATTAAATTTTTGTTGACTGCTTCACTTGGGGAATAAAATCAGAATGGAAGATTGGTTGTTGCTATAAACATCTATTCAAATAGGTTGTGAAAAACAGCCAAATCTTAAAATTTACTTAGCATGTGTTACAGACTTAAATACAAATTCTAAAAACTTTTTTACAAAATAAAAGAAATATTTTTTCTTGGAATTGAAATCAAATAAAGATTTTTAAAAGGCAAATCTAACAAAATGTGTATATAAAAAAATAATGGTGTAAAAAGAAAATTAAATTATTTTCCCACCACATATTATTCAAATATCATGTAAATTTCCATGTAAAAACAGAATTGAGTGTACTATTTTAGTTTGTGCTTAACTTACATGTTCTAGTTCGTGCAGATGCAGCTAACTGTTCTCTATCCATCATATGTTTCTTCATTAGTTTTTTCTGTTTTGCAGTCTCTAATTGTGAAGGTTTAGGAACAGAAAATCCAATATCTACTTTTGCATGTAATATAGGATCCTTTGCATTCATTTCTAAATAAATGGAAATAAATTTAGCTTTCATTCATAAAAATTGAAACTTCTACTAAATACTAATAGATATTCACACATATATATATATATATATATATATAAAGGTATAAATATTTAATAGTATTTAGTGTATATATATATATGTTACTGTGAAAAACCAAAATTAGAGAATGTCAATATTCTCCGGTAAATGTTGACACATACAAAATACATCGGTGAAAGACCGAATATTTGGTTATATTATTATGCATTCGAACAATTGCTGGTGTATGTCGACAAGCACAGATAGGCTTTGGTGGAGGTCGAAACGACATCCAAGAAGCTGATGTCGACAGACAGGCAATAGTCTGTTGCCAAATTCTTCGCAGTTTCCTTCTGCTCAAATTGGTAATACCGTATGAATACAAGTCCCTGTGTCGACTGTGTCTGTACAGATGCCCGAAATGTGTTGGCGGTTGTTGATGAAATAGAAGATTCCGACTTTTATAAATTAGCAAACAAAAATGGTACCCTCAAGCAGTTTTATACCCGTAATCAGTTCGTAATTTGTAAATAAAAGTTACTTTTGATAGATGAGATTTTTTTCAAGAAATATCGCTGAGAGAAACAGCTGCAGCTAATTCGGAAAGTGGAGGGCAAGACTATACACGCTGTCATTGCAAAAAGAAGTGTTCCACGAATAAATGCAGTTGTAAAAGCAAGGGACTTTTGTGCAATTCAAAGTGCCATAACAGTTTAAGTTGTTGCAATAAATAAGATTGTATAACGTTAATCACATAATTTATGTGATAAACTTACACATAATTTATGTGAATAAAGTTACACATAATTTATGTGTAAGTTTATTATTGTATTATTTTCTTTAATGATTTAGAATGTACTGTTCGTTTTAGGTTCAATAGTTTATTTACATTGCTGTTACTTAAGCTTTCTCCTATTTTGACATTAAAAAGTTGCATTTTTGTCTTAACGTAATAATAATATTTTTATTCAACATTCACCATCAGTGCATGCCGAATGTCGACATTTGTCAGTGTAAGTGAGAAATAATAATATTTAGCAAATATTTCGTACAGTACATACACGAAACGACTATGTGAATGTTGACATTCGCCAGATATCGGTCATTCACAGTAACATATATATATATTTAGTAGTATTTAGTGTATATATAAGAACACTTATCAAAATACCTTTTAACTTTTCTTCTAATGAGAGATCAAAGTCTGGAACTGGAATTCTTCTCAACGATCGATTTATGATAGAAAACAGAGCAATTTTATGTTTCGCAAACAAGCAAAAATTATATTTTCCACATGCCGCCATTCTTAAATATCTTTATTTACATCAACTATTTAACAATGTGTAAGTTATTAGATTATTGGAGTCATTAATTTATATAATTTCAATCTCTTTTAAATCACGTTAAATCGCACATGCAAGCCGCCATATTACAATAATCCCTCTATCGGAGAAAAACCTTCAGTGCAGTATTTTTAATAAAAAAAAAAAAAAGCAATAATTGGCAAATTAAAGTATCTACATAATCTATAGAGTTTATATTATTTATGCGAAAAATTCAATGAGTTACTGTCTAATCTAACTCAAAATTAAAATACGAAAACAGCTGTTTATATTTCTTTAAAGCTTTCTATAAGACAGTTTAGTAAATGAACTAAGTACTGTACTGTACATCAGTGCACGTACCGAAGTGCACTGATGCACTTAGGAACCGAACCAGTAACTAATTGTTTAGGGAAAAAAACTGTTCTTTTTCCTAAACGATTGGTTACTTGGTTCGGTCGGTACACAGAGTTTAGAAAGAAAAACAGCCAGCTCTGAACGCACTGTGATTTTTTAAAAATCTTTTCAATTTTTGGGCCCTAAGAGGGCCTCTTTTAGCAATCGGGTTCGACCAAGCCCACAATGGGGTAGCTGGGTGGTGAGTAACGGGGCATGAAATATCCGGACGAAACACCCCCGAAAAATTCCTGGTGATTTTTTTACTTGTCCGTTTTTGATCCCGTCTCCAGAGCGGTAGGCTGCTACCTTGACCATTTGGCCTCCGGCTTTACGCACTGTGTTTAGACTGTTTTCCATCAGTGCAACATATTGGATCGATCTGTATAAGTAGTGAGAAAACAGACTAATGACAATGAATAAAAAAAATTCTCATTGTCGGATTTTGAATGGATATACGAAATAAGATATCTTTATTATGTACAATACTCGTTTCTACTTTTAATTTTTGTAATATGGTATAAAATAAAATGTGCTTGGAGAGACATAATTTGCTAGTACAAAAATATTGGAGGTCTTCTCTATCTTGTATGAATCGACGCTTATATGGGTGCCCAACAATTTCTAAGTGTTACTGATTTTCTTATGAGGAGTACAATTGATTTTTTACTTTTGGAAGAAAAACTATCTCAAATAAGTAAAAACGGTGCAAATGTTTGAGAAAGAATATTATAGACACGTCAAAACATAAATTAACTCCGAGGCAAGAGAGCGGAAGTAACGCACATGAAGATCCATACCATTTCCGTTTAAGCGCGTGTGACTCCGAGGCCTTATTATTATAAATGATAAACGACCAGTAATTATTTCAAACATTTGAAACCAGGAGCTCACGTACGTTCTTTAGACAAACTTCAGTAAATGGATGCAAACTTCTCGGCACACTTCTTCACATTCTCTTTCCGATTCTACACCCTATGTTCTTTCAGATACTCGTCACTTGTTACAACCAATACTTTCAAAATATTTCCTACCAGTGTCCCATCCACCTTTCCTGTGTATACTTTCTTAAACATTTTCATTCTCTCAATGTGGCCGAGCCATCGTTGAGCAGATTTCCCACATTTTCAACTACATCCTCTTTCATTCCACATTCCTCCAGCACCTGCTCATTTCTCACATAGTCTCTCTTAGTTATGCTACACAATCCTCCCAAGTACGTCATCTCACATACAGTAATGCGACTCCTGTAACTTCTGCCATACCCAATTTTTGCTACCACACACGAGCACCACAACACTCCATACACATAGGGACGGACCTACATAGGGACTAGTGCACACCAGTGGCCAAGCGGTCTTCGTATCCTGAACACTGGGAGTTCGTCGTGGGTTGGCGCATCTCTCGGACGGGGTGGCCAAGTGGAGTTTTCTGGGTTTTCTCCACGTCTGTTACGTCTAAATAGGGGTAAATTTCCCTTAAAAATACCTCCCGGAAGGCATCCCTCCTAGGCAGATCGCCCAAGTGTTGCGTTGCCATAACTTAACAAACATAGGGACTGATAGGTTCCCTAGGTTCCCAAATGTAAGAGCCTCAAAAATAGCGGCCGGATAGCCGAGCGGTCAAGGTGGCAGCCTACCGCTCTGGGGGACCCGGGTTCGATCCGAACGGGTCGAAAAATCCCCATGAATTTTTCTGTGGATGGTCCGTTCGGATATGTCGGGCTCCGCCCCTCACCACACGTCAGCCCCATTGTGGGCCTGGCCGAACCCATAATGGGTTTGTAAAAAGAGGCCCTCTTAGTGCCCACAGGGTGGAAAGAGTAAAAAAAATGAATTATTATCATAAATTTTTAATACTTTTTTATTAACAATGAGCATTTATCACATAGTAAAAAACAGTTAATATTAACACTTTCTGGTCCCGATTCTATTTCTGAACGTCTCCTGTTCGCGTCCAGTCAAACGAACTATTTTCAACGTTTCTGGAACGTTTACGATCGTTTTATAATCGAACCAATATTCGAATTTTATGTTCGAATTTAATTCGAACAAATTCATTCGAAATAGAAAGCCACTTTCAAGCCCATATCTCCCGCACCCTTATAGCTTTCGAGACGCGACCACCCCTATGCACGAATGGAGACTTGGGGCTACTACCACATACAAACACCATTCACGTGCGATGTGTAGTTTTGGCGGAAAAGTGAAATATAGGGACATAAATGTCCATATATATATATAATCATAATGACAATTTATAGTATTATTTGTATTAACAAAAAATGGGGCATATTGGACTTCAATAAGCCCTAGACCCCGAAAAATCTATATCCGCCCTTGCATACACAGCCATTCGTGGCGGTTTTAGCGTACGTTTTTCATTTCTTAGATATTAATTTTTGTTGTTCTGTTTTTATTATTATTATTATTTCCGTCCTGTGGACATTAAAACCTTTTTACCGAGCCCATCGTGGGTTTGGCCAGGCTCACAAAGGCTGGGACGGTTGGTGAGGTACAATACAAGACCCACGAAAAATTGCTGGGGTTTTCTAACCGTTATGATTCGTTAATCAACGGTTCTCTCACTGTGATAGGCTGACACCTAACTGTTTGGCCATTCTACGAAGTTTTATAGTGAATTCTACCATTCCTACCAAGATTCCTTTAATGGAGCCGGCCGGATGATGAGGGAGTCGTCCAATAATTTTTTTTTTACGTATAAATGTATATTTACATGCATAAAAAAATAAATAAACATAACGTGAAATCATAAATTCAAAAGATTACATTAATAAAATAAAATATATTTTATATATATATATCAGAACGCCACACGACGACGAAAGAAGTATTAATTAAGTGTATCGTCTGCCCCAAAATATCACGTGATTGTTTGAAATTCAAAGTATCCTTTTAATATTTTAAATTATTGATTTATAAAATATAAAATACGCTTGTCGATACAAAATTTGTTTTTTTTTTCTTTACTAATATAAAATGTTTAAATCTTTAATAAAGAATATTAAAATTCACGAGCAATATTTTTAAATAGTATTCCAGAAGTTTATTATGGAATTTGGTATTAAGTAGTAAGCAAATATTTAAATATGTTGAGTTTTAGAAAAAAGGTTTCTTAACTTTCTTCATCTTTAACATTTTATTACAGTTATATGAAAAGAACAGCAAATTAAGAGTGATATATTTGATAGAAATTGATTTGTTAATGAAACTTTCTCAAATTATTGGGTTTCTATATACAGTAAGTATAAGATACTGCAAAATTGGATGAGATTGCAATAAAAGCACCAACTAACATCTGCAATCCAGTTATATACAATTATACAGGGTGTCCCAAAAATTTTCATACATAAAAAGGTGAAATGTAACTTTATTCGCAAAACATTAAAATGTCAGAGTTAAGATTTGTGTCAGTGGATTGATGGAGTAAGGCAATGGAACACATGGGTGATCTGCCAATGGGGTAACTTCTAGCAGGCCTTCCTATGTGAAAACTGGATTCTGTTTAGGTGAAGAAAACCCAGAATGCTGCGTGGTGGCCGGCTCATTGATTGGGCATGAACCAATGACCAACTACCAGTGTTTTATGGTTTTATTTATTCGGCCACTGGTGGGCTTGATTTGTGTCACTGTATGGAGACTTTTGGGACACCCTATATTTTGATTTTTCTTTTTATATTTGCATTTTTATTTGTACTTATACAGGGTGATAAGACATCCTCGGTTTTTCCTGTTTTTAGTATTTGATTGTAGAATCAATTTTTGAATAAAGCAATTTTATTAACACATCAATGTCATATCAACAATTTGTAGATCAATAAATAAATAAATTTTAAAAAATAACCGAACTTTAATCAGTTTTAGACTCCATTTTTACTGATTCTGAAATGTGTCCCCAGTTGGATTGTAAACATTATGGTTAACGTTATATATGTACTTTATTTAACCCCTGTTATATTGTTTTATATTTTATTTTAATTTCATTTTATTTTTCTTCAACATTTTTTTAGGCATGCCACCACTGGTATGTGTTTAATGAGTTCTATTTTATTTAAATTTTGTTTTTTGAATTTTATTCTACATAACTTTCCATAACCTGAAGATGGTTGTTAAAGACAATTGAAAATGCTTGTTCTTATAATAAATTTGTTTATTTTAACTGGTTTAAGTAGGCTTAATTAACATGATTCACCAAACTTAGTCAGGTCAATCAAAAGTTTTAATAATTTAAATATTTTATCATTTTACTGAGTTTTTAGATAATAGCTATGAAATGTTGAGATCTGATGTTTGAATTTAATTCTAAAAAGAACAATTAAATTCAAATATTCAAATTAAAACATTCTATAGCTTCATCAAAAAACATTCTATCAACTTACTTAAATCTTAACACTTATCATTAGCTTTTAAGAGCCACCAGATATGATAGAACTTTCAAGTTAGATGAATTGGAAGAACTGTTATTGCACATCAAGCTTTATTAAATTCTCTCTATTTATTTTTTAAGATATCAATTTTATTGTGTTCCTTTCTAAATTTATATCTATCTATATGCTTATTAATTAGTATAAAGTAGTAATAATAATTTACACACACAAATTGAGGAGAAACAAAAATGGGGAAATGGGTTTAATAGTCATTATGAATTTTAAAAGCACATATCTTAGTCTGTATAGAAGTGGTTTAATTCTTTCTGCCCTATGGGCACAAAGAGAGCATTTTCTCCATACTTATCATGAATTTGGCCAGGCCCACAAGAAACATACTAATCATGAAAAATATCTGGGGAGTTGCTCATTGGGATTCAATCCTGGGTGCAGTGCCGTAACTAGGCAGGTGCAATAGGTGCACCCGCACAGGGCCCATTTGGAAGAGGGTCCCAAAGTGCACCTGTTTGTTTTATTATTTTCCCAAACCTAATTAATTAAGGGGCCTAAATGCAAGTTCTTGCACAGGGCACAGGAATGGCTAGTTACGGCACTGCCTGGGTGTCCCAGAATGGTAGACTGATATCCTAAGTGTGTCATACATCTGACTGCCCTGTAGAAATGATTTTCTCAATAATAAAGGAGCTTATAAGATAATGTAATGTGTGTATATATATATATACATTATATATATATATCTTTTATATATATATAGCCTATATATATAAGAGACATATTGAAATCACTGCACTTAAACACTGTTGTCAATAGTAATTTTTGTAAAACAGTTTGAGATTATAGTTAGTAAGGATGTAGAGATGCAGTTGTTGCAGCTAATTTTATGAAGTTACTCAAACCGTCAAACAAAATTGCTCAAAATATATTGATTGTGATGTAAATATAAAGAAACACAGGACATTTAAATATCCTAACAATGAACAAAATGTAGAAAAATGGGACATCTAGTCACTCTAATTAGGAGGTATATGCTCCCTTGTACTCCCTTGAAAATATCTATGCATAGAGATGAATGGATTTCTTCTATTTTAGAACTGCTGGTATAAGAAACAGCATTTTACACAATACAGATTAATAATAATAGAAGTTTATTTTTATTTTGATGCCATTATCAATTATTAATCTATGATAAATAGTGGGTCTACATTGTTATAGTAATAGAACAGATTTAATTAATAATAAATTAACATAATAAAAATATATATTTAATATTCATTTGTTGTCAATTATATATCTTATTTTTAATTTCAGAACATCAGCTATTATATTCAAAATAAACTATGGAAAAAACTCAGCCAGTAGTATTTTCACAATGTATTATCAAGAGTGCAAAAGAACATATGAAGGTATATCCATTTAAATCCTAAATTTAAATAGTACAGTAATACCCCAAACTTACACGATAGGTGGGACCGAGTGATAACCGCGTAAGTCGAATTCACGTAAGTCGGGGTATAATTTCGCAATTTGTGTAAAATCCAAGTCGGATGTATATAAGCTAATAAATGTTCTCATTAATCTTATCTCGTCTTTTGATTCGTTCACGATTGCAAGAAATCATCACATAGAGTCTCTCAAGTCTCCATAGATATAACAAACACAGAAATAAATAACATAAAATAAATTGTAGCTATGTGTCAATTCCGCGCGACATGTCTGAACATGTAAGCTGAACAATAGTGTGTGGGGAGTGAGTAATCAAGAGTTGCATGGCGCTCAAACAAAAGACGAATCGACGAGATTTGAAAATTGCGTAAGTCGGGGTAGTGTAAGTCGAGGTATTACTGTATATAAATATTGACTTTAAAATTTTTAATTTAATAATAATATTTTATTTTTACTATATGTACAATATGGTACATAAAACTATATAAAATTATTAAATTATATTTTTTATTTATTTTAATATTGATTCTTTGTATGTCTACTGATGTTTTGATTTTCTTTGTTCTATTGTTAGGTTTTCCTGGTAAACAATGTTTTTCTTTTTTGTTATAATTTTATTTCTGTTTATTTTTATCAAAAAACTTTCTATATATTTATTTTGGAAATCTGAAAATTGGAGAATAACCATCAGGGAAATTGCTGAAGAAATCAACATATCATATATTCTTTACCATTTCTTCCATCATCTGTAATCGTATATCCCAGATAGACATGACTTTTGACCTGCTCCAGTTTACTGTTTCCGATTTTAATATTTACTTTTGGAGTTTCTTTCTCATTGAAAATGACCATAGTTTTGGTCTTTTTGCAGTTTAGTGTTAGTCTGAATTGATTGCTCTATTTTGGTACTTCCTCTATCAACATCATTAGATCCCATTCATTTTCTGCTAATAGCACAGTGTCATAAGCATACCTAAGATTATTGAAATTTTTGTCCCCTATGTTTACTCCTTTTAGATCTTTGACCTGACTGAAAATTCTTTCTGTATAAAGATTGAACAGAATCGGAGACAGCACATAACCCTGCCTTACTCCTTTTTGTATTAGGAAGCTTTGCAAAAATTCTTAGCCAATCCTTATTGCAGCTCTCTGTTCCCAATATAAATTGGTAAGTAATCTGACATCCTTCCCATCCATACCATTTTCTACTAGACATTTAATAAGGTAATCATGTTTCACGTTATCAAATGCCTTTGTATTGTCTATAAAACGTAGATAAATATTTTTCTGTTTTTCCTTATATCTTTCAATAATAGTTTTCAGATTAAAAATACCTTCTCTTGTTTCTTTATTCTCTTGGAAACCACTTTGTGTTTCACTTATGCCTTCAGTCCATCTTCCTTTGTTTCTATTTAACAAGATATAAGTTAGAACCTTTGCCACATGACTCCTGTGGGATAATATGTGAGGTAAATAAATTTTTAATTTTACCTCATATATATTCTCTAGGGAAAAGGTCGAGACTGCTTGATGGCCATTTTAATGTGTTAATATTATGTTGGGTCAGTCAAACCTTGGTCATTTTAGCAGTTTGGAAACTTGTACCATCCTGCTGGAAAATAAAATGTCTGTGATATTGTAATTTTTCTAATGATGGTAATAGGTTTTCCTCAAAGATTTGTTGGTAATTTCACTGCATTTACTGATTTCTTGATGGAATGCACATTTCCCACACCTTGGTCTGTGTACCAAGTTTGTACTGTAGCATTGCTGAGTGACTTCCAGGCTACTGTGAGATTCTACTATGGTCTTTTCTTCTGACACCACTGTAAGGTTTTCTGATGGTGGTGTGTTAATTCTGACACCAATAGATTATGTCTACTATATGAGTTTTCAGTGTTTTTCTGGATGGCAATAACGTGGTCTCATGAGACTAGGGTAAGAGGATGGAATAGGAAAGGACAAGATTCAGTTGTAATTGATTTACTCAACATAATTTACTACACTTAAACATTTATTAGATGGCATAAAAGTTTGTACAACACATTACATAGGGTATTCACATTTTGCAGAGAGAGAGATTACAAATTTTTGGTACCTCACAATCCAGAACTAGAATCCCCATTGAAGATCTTCAGAACATAGTTCTTCACTTAGCAGTTTGAGAGAGAAGTAGCAAGTAGAGGGATGACGAGGAATATGAGGGCACAGAAGATCACCTAGTCAAATAGGCACACAAACACATTAAACTGAACAGTTGAAAGAATGGGCAATGACTGACTGGAATTGGCCATTCCTTATCATATTCAAAGCAGCAAATATCTTAGAGTGACTAAAAGTTGTGGGAAAGGTGACCCTGATAAAGCATTAGTTGACACTGTCAGGTCAGAAAGTTGACATATACTAGCTACTAGCTTCTGATGAAGTCATTCTTAAGTTGTTTTTCTTTTATTTGTTCAAATCTCACATTTTACAGATGGATATGACAAGTTTCTTTTGTAACTTCCTTTCCAATAACTTTATTCCATTCATTCACTAATTCATCATGTGATGCACCTTGCTTTTTGTCATTTGTATTAATAAAGTTATGTGAATAGGTTCAAGAATTACAGTGGTGTCTCATACTTTGAACTTAATTTATTCTTGGAGCCCATTCAAATATCATTCAAAGTCTGAATCAGTTTTTCCCATTAGGAATAATAGAAGGCAAATTAATCCATTCCTAGATCCTAAACGAAACTCATTTTGATAAACTTAAAACAGCAAACACACACAATTTAAGATAAAAATAAAAATTAAATGCACTGGTAATAAATGAAACATGAAAACAATGAATAAAATATGCAAATAACTTATAATAAAATGAAAATACATTTACTGTTTGCACACTGTTGACTTTGGCATCTTAAACATGGCTGTCAGATTCATTGTGTGTTGCTTTCATGCTTTGCGATAAGTTCTTTTTTTATTACAATCATCATATTATAACCTTCCTCTTACTTGTTAGACTTTGTTGCTTCCACACACTTCCTGGATGCCATAGCTAATAAATGAAGATTATAGACTCATCAAAAGTGAAATTACACCACCACAAAGAAATGCACCACATGCAAATTGCAGGACCAGTAGAGGTGACAGAGATATACAAATGATTAAGTTTGCATACTGTACACATCAGGTCATGTGGTACCCAATTTTGGGCTATAAAGATTGGCCAGCTTGGGCCATAAATGCTATCAGCAACAATTTGCAGCAGCCTAACTTTTGAAGAAGTGTAGAAAATACTTCAGAGAAAATAGTGATTTCAATATCACCAGTTAACAGCTGTGGAACAAGACCATATCCTGAGCTGCACAACCTCGGTTTGTCGATGTTCACAGTTGCAGCAATGCATGACATGATGGATACAGGAACATCTGCAAATATCCAAAGAGATAGTGGATTGCACCAGTGCACAGCAGATTGCACAGATTGTTATATTTACCAAATGGCTTGTTGGGACCTGTTTGCTATAGCAAGTGACATCCAAAGCTACCTATCACCATCAACAGGTGCATCTATGCCCATCCAAACTATTTGGAACAGGTTGCACGTAGTCAGTTGCATGAACAGCAATCAGCAACTGAATACCATTAACCGCTTGACACAGCTGCATGCATGGTGTCATCATCATCACAACTGGACCACTGAATGGCATTGGATATTATTTAGAGATGAATCCACTTCTGTCTGTGGAGGAATGATTGGTGTGGATGGATGTGGTGGTATTCTGGGAAACTCTATATGCCAGCCCTTTTCACCAAGCATCATACTGGCCCCACACTGGGCATCATGTTTGATCAGTGGACAGCACTGGTGCACATTTCTGGTATTCTGACAGAGGACCAGTATGTCACATAAAATGTGGGGCCTGTGGTTTAGTCAACGGTGCAAGCTGCACCTGACACCGTGTTCCAATAAGATAATGCCTGACTGAATGTTGCATGATGAACTCTTACCATCCTGAACAGAATTTACATCCTTTCCTGGCCAGCAGCCTTGCCGGACCTCTCTCCCATTGAACACCTGTAGGACCTTATCCAATGTGAGGTGTGCTGGAAACCACCATCACATACTGTAGATGATATGTGTGCTGTAGTGGATGCTGTTTGTCAAGGTATACCTCAGGCAATTATTAATTGCCTTTTTGATAGTATGCCTCACTGTATAACAGCCTGTATAGCTGCCCATTGGGACCATATTTGTTACTGAATAAACAGGTGCTGTTTCATATCTTTGTTTATTCTTTCAATCATTTGCAAATCTGTGCCATGTCTACGAACTGCAATGTGCATGTGGCTATGCACATTTCTTCATGGTATAGAAATTTCACTTGAATGTATTTATTGGATTGAACAGACAGCTTTTGCATATTTTTAATAGGTCTTGTTATTTAACATAGATGTGTGAAATTTAACACATTATTGCTAATTTGATATTGTATTATTTGTTTAGAAGCTTATTTTATGCTCTGAGCACATTTTTTTTACTTTACTCTCAGTTAAAACTGTAAAGCATTTTGTTTGAAATCTGATGCACTCTGAAGTTAGGCTGTGTACACACTAGGCGTTTTGTGTTGCATTAAATGCGCGTTAGCAGCGTACACACCAGGTGTTAGCTCGGCGTTAGATGAGCATTTAGTGGAGCATACGCACTGGCTCAGTTTGGAAATGGACGTGAAAGTAATTGCTTGTGTGCCCCTCCTCCATCGTTGCTATAAAAGATGATGGCAGAGGCAAAGAGAATTTTGGGTGCACCCAATATTATGAGATAGACTGACACATGGAATGTTTGTGACATTGTATCCAAATCTAAGACAAAATGAACCCAAGTTTTTTAATTCTTTTAAAATATCTATAAAATCCTTTGACAATGGTTGGTCTCTTTTAGATTTCATCAATAAATAGATCAGTATCGAAATGATCATTCTCCATTTCGGCCAACGTACGTCCACTCTACCCGAAAATGCACAATCGAATATACAGTAACATGGCAGCACGTATATCTCAAAGTGCTCGGCTGACGCCCGCAAAACGCGCGTTTTAAGAAAAATCTATAAACGCGCGTTTAACGCGCGCTTGGCCAAAAGCGCGCATTTGAGTGTGTACGCCTATGCAGAACTCTTGGTTCGTCAAACGTGCATTTTTAAACGCCTAGTGTGTACACAGCCATAGAGTTGTTCAATATGTAGAAGGTACCACTGTATTTGATCATATATTGTATAATAAACTAGGACATCATGCAACTTTGTCATATTGCGATAGAATTGAAGCAGAGCCGGAAGAAAAGAAACAATTCCTGCACCCATTAGGCATAGAAGAAGTGATTCGGTACCTGATAGACATACATGGGTGAACTTTGCACTTATTGCCATAAAAGAGGTTATCCTTGTACCTGCAGGCCACAGGAGACACAATTCTTGCACTGGCCAGGTACAGAGAGATGATCCAAGAACAAAGCAATCAATGGTAATTGCTTTGTTCTTGTGTTTTGTTTATTTTTTGCACCTATTTTCTGTTAGGCACATGTAATACTGTTTTTATTTTTGACCCCTAGGCCTAAATTCCATTAGATTCATGTGTCACATCAGAGCATGGACATTGTTACCATAATACCTTTGTATATTGAAAAAGTCATGGACTCCTATTTTTACTTTCCTGGCTCTGTTATAGACAACAGAGGGAAAGTATGGCAATCAGTCAAAAATGACTCCCAAGATTTTTTTCATTTTTGAACTTAGGGGATATTGAAATGTCGAGAAATGCAAAAACATTCAGTTTTTTTTTTTTTTGTTTATATGGACGTATGGGGCACAATTTTGTTAATCCTGTTTGAAGCTTAATAACTTTCATGCTTTCAAAAATTTTCTGAAATTTTGCAGGAAGGTTTGTGTATTAGAAAGATTCATTCTATTAAATTTTGGTGGTTTGAGGCCAACGGAGTGAGGAGCTAAAGGTGATTGTGTGTCATATTTCCAGTAGGATCAGACTTAATGACAATCTTACTCATTATTAGCATTTACAATTTTTTTTAAAACCCATCCCTACCTTCAAAGTTAAGCATTTTGCCATTTTATAATAATTAAAAATGTAAACAGTTTTTTTTAAAAATATATATTGTAATAGATAGTGCCATCAAATTTTAAATGTTTCTGGGAAAGTTAAGCGATTTGTTGCTAGATTTTTTACAATTAAATGGACCCACATTACATTTCTCGATTCCTTGTCTCAATTAATGGAAAATGGCAAGGTTTTATTAAAATCAAACTAATAAATTTTGAGAATGTATTTGATTCTATAAGCTCATATAAGACCTGCTAGCAACCATTAAATGTCATATGATATTACTTTGTCGTGCACACTCATGAAACAATCTTATATCTCAAAAACAAAGTCATGGACCCCACTTTTTATTGCATTTTTGGATTCTGTGTCACAATTAATGGAAAATGGCAAAGTATAATCAAAATCAATCAAACGGATTTTGAGAACAAACACAATTCTGTAAGCCTTATATAAGCTTTGCTAATACTGCACTTCAAATATCAAAAAGTTCTTATAAGTAGCGAACTCATTTAAGTATTACTAGATTACCTGTTTGTTGAACTAATGTTGAATATGATGTAAGTAATTTCAGTTTCAGAATAAAAAAACGAAATAATAGTAAAATATGAGTTATTAAATACTAGTTCTTTGTTATGTGGCTAACAATGATTTGATCATGGCTTTCACTAATAATTTTATTAATGTTGAATAGTATAAAACTGAAAAATAAACTTTTGCATTTTGTTTAAATTTAAATTTGATTATTAATATTAATATTGGTATGAAATTAAAATTACAAAATTTTAAATGTTTATTTTTTTAAGGAATCTCCATTATTGGATCCAAGGATTACTGTTTTACCTAGTTATATTCGTCAAGCTGCTATGGGAGCAAATAATGTTGCAGGTGATATTCCAAATTTTATATTTATTTATTTCATAGTTTTTAAAAGTTATTATATACATTTACGCATGCATGCATGTATGTATGTATATACAATAAAACTTATATTAATGTACACTCCCAAATAGCAGACACTCTACTTAATGGACATTTTTACAATCCTCAGACCCTTCAAATATGACACCTATTATATTTATCTCCAAACAGTGGATGCTTCATTTGTAACCAACTATACAAAAACACAATGTCCCACCTTTAATATTCAGAAACACTTAATTATGTGTAAAAACCTCCTATAGCATGTGGTCTGTGGGGTTGAACAAAAGAAGAACAGTTAAAACTATGAATAATTGGTGTCACAGTGTGGTTTTATAAACAAAGGTTTATTGGAAACAAATACGCAACTAATGGAACAATACAAAGTTTAATCACATTACAATGATATTTGTACTCTGATTATCTCTCTCCTGACCTTCCTTCTTTAAGCGAAACCCTGCTTTTTTCAGATAGACCATATAAAAAATATTAAAAAAATAGAAACGATAATGCTAAGATAACATCAAATACACAGTTGGGGAAACGGGTATACAATAACACATACAAGATTTCCCTTTGGTCCAAAATAATTCGTTGATTATGTGACACTATAGTTAGTCCTTTACCCTATTTGGATGGCGATCTTTTTCTTTCTTGACATATTTTCTCAATGCAAATGGATTCCCTTTTCGATCCAAAATTTCTTCAATTCCCAGACGACTGGTTCTCTTGTACCTCTATTGTCCCAGTCCTTGCAACCTGTGGCATTCTCTGGTCACTCACATATGAAGAAATCCCCACAAATGAAAAAAAAAGCTTTTTCATGTGGTTTATCCTTGTTTGTGTACCGTCTGCCAACAGATGTCACTCCGTCCCACGTGACCACACTTTGGGTCTGTTAAGGGAAGATCTGGCAACACCGTGCAACGTGCAAAACAGATGGCCCCTTCTAATGTATAAGAGTGGAGAACGCCCGGTCTAAGTAGGACCCCGAATAAAGTATAGTTGTCCCTCTATAGTTCGACATTTTTTAATCCGACATGCTCAGTAGTCCGATGCACCTCCCATCAAGGTACCCGTCCCCATTACATGTCTGCTTGCACAGAAGCATGTCGCAATGTGAATCTCCCCATCCAATTTTTACACGATGACACACATTTCGTGTGTTTTATGTGAGCAGTTCTGTTCGAACAGTTGGAGTAGAGAATATTGTAAGTTACTGCTAGCAAAACAATGCGAAATATGTAATTATTTTCGGTAATCC